CGGCTCCCGGAGGGGCGGCTGCGGCTCCTCCGGCGGTGGCGGCGGCAGCAGGGGCCACGGCGGCAGGGCAGCCCCGCGACGACCGGGGCGGGGGCGCGGGTGGTCGGGACGCCCCGGGGGCCTCGCCCTCACGCCAGAGAGCTCCGCGCCGGGAAAGGCTAAAAAGCCTTCCAGATGGGGGCGCCTCCGCCCGCAGCCCGGGAGGAATTGCGACGCGGGAAGTCAAAAGGTGGACCCTCCCGGTCCTCGTCCCCTGCCCCCGTTTGCATCGCGGGGCTCTGATGACATCCCCGCGCTCCGATGACCGGGGCGCGGGCGCCTGCACGCCCAGCGGGAGCCGGCGAGGCCTCGGCGTTTGGGGGGGCCGCGGCGGCCGCGAGGCGTGTGCGCCGGGGATGCGGGGCACGGCGGCCGCGGTGACAGCGCCCGTGGGGCGGCGGGGCCCGGCGCCACCCACCTCGCGGGGGCCGGGCCGGGCGGCCACTCCCGGTCCGCCTCCTGGGCGGGGCTGGGGCGAGGGCGTGTGCGGACACGTGTGCTCGCGTGTGTGTGCGGACACGTAAGTGCGCGGACGGGCGCGGGGGTGGCGGGAGCGGGGGCGGCCGCGGGCAGGTGGGACTTTGAGTCATTCGTGAAGGAGTGGGGTGGGCACTCCGGGACAACCGGGCAGGGAGGAGCTCGTGCAACCTGGAACAGAGGAGCCTGCAGGGACTGCGCCTCGTGCGACTCACTGTGCGTGGTCCCGGGGATATGTACTTGAACTTTGCTGTTGGTCCATCCTTGTCTCTGGCTATTTTCTGGTTGCCTTTTACTTTAGCTTTCGAATCAGCCCTGTTAGGACGTGCCTTAAATGTACAGCGAAGCCTTCCAGGATTTTGCTCGCATCCGTAGCACGCAGAATGCTTTGGGAAAGGCGATTCAAGAGCTTCCTTCCATTTTTGTGTGTCTTCTGGCGCTTTCCACAAATAGGAAGCTATTTCTCGAACCTTTCATCTGATAATTTGATAACATCAAGTGAGCTGATTTTTTTCGACTCTAGACTGAGGAGAAAGAAAATAAAAATGAGGATTAGTAGCCTTTTAAAATGCAGTGACTAGAGAGAGAGAGGGTGTCATGTTCTAGCAGGCGGATTACTGTGAAGCTCTCTCCTTTTGCATTTTCCTTTATCCTGGGGGAGGAGGTATTGCATTATACATCAGAAAAGCAAAGTAGATAGTTTAAATGTTTTAAAGTAAAATAGATGTATTACACATTCCGTGTCATTGTCTGACCCATGTCAAGGCTAGGAACCTTCTGGAGAAAGTATAATGCAGTAATCAAGGAGACAAGTTAGAAATCTCTTTGGCAGAACTCCTTTGGCATGAAAACAAAGAAAGACAGAAACAGGGTTAACTAGCATCCAGCTCTCCTTGTTCAGTAAGTAGCTGGGGTTTCCTTTTTGAAAAAAGAAACAGGATTCCAAAATGTTCCAAATGGTGTGGTTGAAGCCACTGGTTATGGCATTTCATTCTGAGAAACTAATTTCTTAAGATTTATATGACCAATTAAAGACATTTTTTTAATAATTAATGAGAGTGGCACCCCTACTGGAGACATAAGATAGTTTTGCTTCAGTTGCAGTAATATAAGTAATATTGGAGAATTAAATGGGATTTTCTACATAAGAAGGTAGAAATAAAGTTATGATGATAATATCTTAAAATCATGCAGGACATTTTGTTTTGAGAGACTTAAGGTGCCTCTCAGATAATCTCTTCTTGTTTTGCAAGATAGAGGATGTGGTAATGAGGAATGAAAAGTGAAAGTCTTTATAACAGTTGTGGCAAAATAAGCTATTATATGTGATACATGGAAAAATAAAATAGACAAAATGGAATTATTTTCTAAAAATTTATCTTCCTGCCCTAAAAGGGAGATTTTTACTACTTCCTATCAAATGTCAGAAATTTTATAAGATGAGATGTAAGCCTTGGTTCACTTTTAGAGATGACTGATGTCCTCATATTTGGTTAGAGGTTTTCTTGCTAGTATTTCACCAAACTCCAGTGTTGAGATACAGTACTTGGGGAATATTGAAGCTTGAATAATTGAAAGATATTGTTATTTTTGAAAGTTAACTGCTGACATTTTGTTTTCAATAACATGAAAGCACTTTACAGAGTTCTGTACTAACGTTCATTATTATTCTTCAGCTTGCAGATCTACAAGGTGTGGTGGAACACTTCTGGCTTATAGTCCAATGCCAAGTGTGTGACTTGTGGTGAGTTACTTAATTGCTCGGGACCTCAGTTTTCTCATCTTGTAAGTGGAGTCTTTTATATACATTATCTTGTTTAATGCTGTTATCAGCTCAGGCTAATATAGCTGCCTTAGAGAGGGACCGAGACAAATGTCAGTGCCTTCTTTTGCTATGAGGTAGTGAAGAAAACAAGGAGAGCCCAAGAGATAGGAGATCTGGTTTCTGGTCTTAATTCTTTTTTTTTTTTTTTTTTTTTTTTGAGTCGAAGTCTCACTGTCACCTAGGCTGGAGTGCAGTGGCACGCTCATGGCCACCACAGCCTTGACCTGCTGGGCTCAGTAGATCTTTCTGCCTCAACCTTCCAAGTAGCTAGAACCATAGGCATACACCACTACACCTGGCTAATTTTTTGATTTATTGTAGAGACAAGATTTCACCAAGCTGTCCAGGCTGGTCTTGAGCCCCTGGGCTCAGGCAATCCTCTTGCCTCCGCCTCCCAAAGTACTGAGATTACAAGCGTGAGCCTCTGCACTCGGCTCTGGTCTTAATTCTTAGAGGTCTAGAGTTACTTGTCTCTCCAAGACCTCAGCAGTCATTAGAATGAGGTTAGGATTGTAAGTCTCTTGCTTAGAAGTTGAATTAAATGGACTTTTAAGGCCTCTTTAATAAGATGATGGGTGTGATAACATAACTGTCCTCTTTAGACATTTAGTACACTTAAAAATAGTACTTGGTGGTGGCAAGGGCAGGTGTTTATGTCAGTGAGTTGGTTTTATGATCAGTGAGGGTGGGGAATCTTTATCTAACATTACCTGGAAAACAAAACTGGTAACAGGTGGAAATTGTGGGAATTCTGGTTTTCTCAGATCAGGCTTCAGGTCACTGAGCACTTATCAAGCCTCTCTTGTACTCCTATACTCTGCTGAGAACAGGAGGCACCAAGATGAGTCAGACCTGGTTCCTCCATGGAGAAGCTCCCAGTTTGTACATGGATGGGTGTTGGTGGAGGAGGTGGAGAAGCAGTGATGCTGCCTCAACAGTACTTTGCATTTTTTTTGCATTGTGACATATTTGTAAGCACAACATAATGTGTGTGATGTATATATTAAGAAACATAATGATAAAAGGACAGAAGCAAAACATAAGCTGTGGTTTTGATGTGCCTCCCTTTGTGTTCCTTCTGGATTGTTCCCTCCATCCCTGCTGCTTTCACAATCATTAGCTTATATTTTGTGTTTATGATTTTTTTGCTTATTATCATTGTTATCTCCAAATAATATATCTGTTGTACTTGTGCTTTGAACTTTGTAAAAATGCATCATACTCTGGATTCTTCTGTGACTCACTGTGTTTAGGACTTAACCACACTGATGCTTGTAGATGGAGTTCATTTATTTTTCACTGCTGCACAGTATTCCATTTTATGTCTGTGCTGAAGTTTATCTATTTTCTTATTGATGGATATGTGGGTTATTTCTTGTGTTTTTTTTTTCTATCTCAAATAATGCTGAAATAAACATTCCTTTACTCATATCTTGGTGCATATGTTCACAAGTTTCTCATTGCCTTATATAGTAATCTAGCTAATAGCTATATGTGGCTACTTACATTGAGGTTTAATTAAAATTAAGTGGTATTAAAATTTCAGTTCTTCATGTGTATTAGCTGCATTGCAAGTGTGCAATAGCCACACATAGCTACTGGCTACCATGGTGGATAGTACAGATGCATGGCATTTCCATTATTACAGAAAGTTCTACGTTTCCAGGTTTTATCCATCTTTATGTCTCTAGTTGTCAGCTTAGTGCAGGAGTTGTACAATGCTGATCATATGCCCAGGAGTAAAATTACTGTGTTGTGAGGTATTCACATCTTCATCTTCACCAGTTAATGCCAACTTGTTTTCTCAAGTGGTTATGTCAATTTATACTCCCACCAGCTGTCTATAAGAGTCTGGCTGTGTGTCTCCTTGACTTGGTATTGTCAGATTTTGCAATTCTTGCCAGTCTGGTCGGTGGCTTCTGTAGGCAACCGATAGCTTAGGCAGACAGAAGGGAGGTCATTCTTCTAGCTTATTAGAGCCCAGTGCCACCTAGAAGAAAGTGCTCAGGGGAGCAGTAGGAACATTTCCTGTGTTGGCTGAAGGGGTTAGAGGACCAAAGTCCAGCTAAAGTGGAGGGGAGAGAGAAGACAACAAAAGCTGGATTCTCTTTGCCATTTCTGCCTGTGGTAGTAACATTTTTGCCAATATAGCATGTCATTACAATGAATTTTCTTTGTTATCAGAGTTAATTCCTGGTACATTTGAGTTTTGGCTCCACATTTATTTAAAGACTGGATCTAGTGAGTACTTGCAAAGCACTGAAGCCTTGGACATTGTCTTTTTCAGCTGTTGGAAAAGACCATCTTCACGTACACACTACTCAGGTAATTACTTCCAAGCCTATTGAAAGAAAGTTTATTCTCATTTTAAATAAGATTAGAAGTCCTGCCTGAGTGCTCTTTAGGTTTCAGTGGCTTGCAAGCAAAGGAATAAGAGTCAGTGGTTAAGCTGTTGAGTGCCTAGTCTGATTATAAGACAAAGTTTAGGAATTGATGGTTATCTTTTAGCATTCAGCTCACTAGGACTAGTAAAAAGAGATTTATTGACTCCTTCCCCTGCCTTCTCCAGGATTTAAAAGAAAATCCACACAACTTTCTTTTGGCAGCCTCAAATCCCCTTCATGACAGTAAGGGCAGATGGTGGTGATGCTGCTTTGCTGCGGTGCAGATTTGGGGGGACACATCTAATGCTAATCACAGGGAGAAAGAAAGGCATCACACTCCCAGCCTCTTCTAGGCATTGTTCTGTCTGCTGAGGTCTTTAAGAAGAACATGAGGAGTCAGAGGAACAGTGATTGAAGCAGCTAACATTTATTGGTCACTTAGTACTGCGTGCCAGGCAATTACATTCATTTTCTCACTAGTCCTCACAACGCCCCTTTGCTTCTCTCCCCATTTTAGAGACGAAACCGGCTTAGAGTGGCTAGACATCCTTTTCCAGGTTTCACAGCTCACCTGTGGTTAATTCAGGGCTTGGACTTTAGTCCTTTCAACCCTTAAGCCCTGCTAAGATTATCTTGAATCTCTTACCAAGAATAGATGAGGAGAAGGATTGAAGAAAGTACCGGTGTGTTATCAAGAGAAAGTTGTCCTTCGAACTAAGAACAGAAGGGGAAATAATTCATAATCGAATGTATTGAAAGGGAATAAAAGATTCTTCTCTTTTAGGGGCAAGGAAGAGGCAGTGAATGAGGGAGATCAAAATACCCAGTGACATTCAGCAGACCATTGCTGAAGTTAGAACTTGAAAGTCGGCCAGAAGTTCCTTAAGCATCTGGACCCCTCTCCAATTTTGGAGAGATGGATCCACCTTGATTCTCTGAACTACTTTCTAAATAAACTTTCTTTTCTAATCTAAAAAAAAAAAAAAAAAGAAAGAAAGAAAGAAAAAGAAAGTCATGGATGGCAGCAGCTACCAGATTTGGGGATTCAGCTAGATTGTACTTTGAAGTGAAAGCTGTATTGTTGACTGGCTTCTCTTCAATACACTGGACTTCTCTCCTGAAGACTAGAGAACTGCAGTGCCTTCCACTGTGGTTTTGGCTGGGCACCATGATGACCTAGACCCTGTTTATTGTTAGGACTGATGATCCATTCATAGATACATATTATTTGTGGTTGCTGTGTAATTTTCTTGGTAAGCAGTATTTATTTGACTCATTGAAGATTTAATTACTATAACTCAAGTGGGAAGGGTTTTTTAAGTTTTCTTGGATATTAGTTCTTTTTATTTTCTTTTTTCATAAATTGTTTTTACTAGTCAATCAGGTATGAGGCCAACCTCAGGCTGCTTACCCAGGATTTTACTTGGCCAAAGTACTCAGAGTTCAGGTCACTCTCCAGAACTGACCCATGCTAAACAAACTTATAAAGAGCTAGTAGACCTAGGATACCAAATTCATAATGTGAAGTAGAAATTCCAAGAAGGCTGGGATGCTTTGGTCTGCTGGTCACAGTATTGTAATCACTGTTTGGAATCTGCCCTAGAAGCCAAGTTATTTAAGGTTGCTTGCTGATGGAATCTAAGCAAGGCAATTATCTGGGTGAATTTAATGACCAATGTTAAGGAGTCTAATCTACCCATCTTTACTGTTGAGAAATAATCAGTTGACCGGTCAGATAACCAGGTTGACTAATCAGGGTACTTGTTCTTTCTGGACAGTACTGGAGGCACATTGAGCAGTCTAACTCTTTGGCTGTCCGTTTTCTAGGTGCCTTACCATATACCATAATGACCAAGAGTGCACCTTCTGGGTTTAAATTCTAGTCCTGCCACTACCTGGTTGTGTGATGTAGTCAAGTCATATTCTCTGTCTTTCTTTCTTTACCTTTTCTTCATCCCTTTTTGTTTGTTTCATTTTCTTCATCTGTACATTAGAGATGATACTGTCAGAACCTGTCTCCTAGAACAGGGGTCTCTAACCCCCAACCGCTGGGCTGTGGACTGGTACTGGTCCATGTTAGGAACCAGGCCTCACAGCAGGAGGTGAGTGGTGGGTGGGCGGGGGTGGAAGGGGAGGCATTAGATTCTCATAGGAGCCAGAATCCTATCGTGAACTGCGTGTGCAAGGGATCTAGGTTGTGCGTTCCTTATGAGAATCTGATGCCTGATGATTGCCCCACTCTTACTGTCTGTGGAAAAATTGTTTTCCACGAAATCTGTTCCTGATGACGAAAAGGTTGGGGACCACTGTCCTAGAAGATTAAATGAGTTGATATCTGTGAAGCACATAGAAAAGTACCAGACAAAGCATAAGATCAAATTAAGTCTTACCTACTCTTATTGTTAATAATGTAACTGTTACTATTCTCAGCCAGGAGTTTTTTTTATTACAAGTGAAAGAAACACAGTTTGAACAAGCTTAAACATACAAGTTTAAACAGAAAGGGACCAATTAGACTATATATGTGATTGATTC